GTGATGATGGGCCTGTGGTTAGAGCCCCCCCTCTGCAGGCTTCAGGCAGGTGGGTTGTTGGGTTGGCCTGGGGCATCATTACATCGCTGGCTACGGCTTGGCCAAAGCGCAACCCCGCTGGTTTGGGGCACCTCCCTCCCTGGGGGTGCGCAGCGTGAGACCTCTGCTGCCTGCTGTCCAGAGCTGCAGAGAGTAGGGATGTAAAATGCCATGTCATGGGTTAACTGGTTAAATGTGACCTTTATGTGGCATATAACCAGGAAACCGATTAAGGTGGGGGCTGCTCCGGGGAGCGGCTCCAGCCCCTGCTGATTGGGAACTGGTAGGGCACCTCCCTCCCTGGGGGTGCGCAGCGTGAGACCTCTGCTGCCTGCTGTCCAGAGCTGCAGAGAGTAGGGATGTAAAATGCCATGTCATGGGTTAACTGGTTAAATGTGACCTTTATGTGGCATATAACCAGGAAACCGATTAAGGTGGGGGCTGCTCCGGGGAGCGGCTCCAGCCCCTGCTGATTGGGAACTGGTAAGGGATGTTTTTTTAAATTTTTTCCATCCATGTGCAAATTGAGTTTTGTTACATGCACCAGGGCATGTGCTGATGTGCACCACCAATAGAAACACATGCTGCTGGCAGCTGTGGGCACACTGCTAAGCTGCTGGGTGGCATCAGAATCTGTCCTGGCAGCCACTCAAGCACTCAGTTTACAGGGAATACTGCTGGTAAGCATCACCCATTAAGGGTGATACTTAGCGGTTAATTGGCTAGCCTTTCACATCCCTAGTGCAGCACTCAAGGCTACAACTGAAATCAATGGGGTTCAGAACTGCAGCAAATAGAACCTCACTGTCTCAAATTGGGCTCCCATAATAAATATGCTGCTGTTAGAAACGTGTATATGTGGATGGACACCCATGTTTCTTACTGTAATATGGGATTGGTATCGCATGGCTGCTACAATCCAAAGAAGTTTTAAAAGTCTAATTTACTTTTCATTGTCATGGTGTTTTTTTACTTAGGTTTTCCTTTCAACTTTGCCAGTGAAAATAGATAGGTGGATTTCACTTTCTGTCTCTCATGCCCTGAAGAGAATCACATAGGGCCCTGTTCTGTAAAGGTTTCAAACATTTAAGTGCCTGAGTTGTTGCATGCTTTTGCAGGGTCAAAACTCTGAGTGGGCTGCAGATTCTTCAGGGTGATGTTTTCTTTAGGATTTGAACATTTTATCTTAGTGTTAGGCTTTGTAGTGTAAAAAAAAAAAATTCTAAATTTGTGTCTAGGGATCTGATCCAAGTTCTTTTAATTTTAATCCCAGTGTAAATTTAGGGGGGTGGGGAAATTGAGCATTAACCCAAAGGATAAGGACAACTTGGGTATGATGACAAGCATTTTTCTTTAGTTTTAAGTGTGATATTACAAAAAAAAAACTGAAATAGGTTTGTTTCAGTTGTAAACAAGGACAGTGTACCCCAAGTATGTAAGCATTTGTCGTTGGAGTCACAATATGAAAGACAAGCTGTTAGAGGGTATTTGAGTGCGAGTCAAAATAACTAACTATAGCTGTCTGAAATAGGTAACATTTAGTCTTTTGCAGTTTCTTTTATGAAGTTTGCTTATATCTGGAACAAGCAGAGGACAAATAGATGAATGGATAGTTCTGGTTACCCACTACTATACTGTAGGATTGTGGCAGTTATGCCAGTGATAAGCAGTAAAAAAGAAAACTGTAATAGATCTAAAAGTGAAGCTCAGAATATTTGGACTTGGATTAATAACAGCAGCAATCCACTCTCTAGAATGAGAGCACAATGTTAATCACCTGGGGTGAAATGCTGGGTCCATTTATTCAAAATTTCTTATTCAGTCAAAACTGTTTTTGAAGTCACTGCTGTAATGTAATTGGTCATAGAGGTTCCTTTGAGACTGTCACTTGATCTTGTTGAAATACCACTGAACCTACCTATCTGCTTGCTTTCTGGGGCACCCTATCAAGCAGTAGTTCTAATTAGGAATGTTAAGGACTAGTCAACTATCTGATAAGCAAATGCTTATCAGATAGTCAACTATCCTGTTGACTAATTGCTTCCCCCCCCCCATGCTGCCTCTGTCAGGGGCAGAAGTGGGCGGGAGTACTTCAAAGCAGCAGCACTGCATGGGTCCTGGGCTCTGTGTGGTGCTGCCCCTTTGGAATGCCGGGGATCAGGTGGGGACTTCGGGCTTTGGTGCAGCATTTCAAAGTGGCACTGCCGCGTAGAGCCCGGCGTCAGCTGCAGAATCCCCAGCTAACCCTGGGTTCCATATGGAGTACCAGCTTTGAAATGTACAAGAGTCCTCAGTGGGGGCTCTTGTGCATTTCAGAGAGGAAGCGCAACATGGAGTCGGGGGCCAGTGCGGGATTCTGAGTCCCCTGCTGACCCCAGGCTCCATGTGGGCGCTTCTGCTTTGAAATGCACAAGAGCCCCAGTGGGGCTCCACATGGATCCCGGAGTCAGTGGGACTTCCCACTGGCCCTGGGCTCCATGCAGAGTTCCAGCTTTGAAATGCACAACATCCCATCACCCCCGCAGAACAGATCGAGTAGTTGATGTAAATTTCATTGACTACTTGGCTAGTAAATTAATAGCTAGTTAACATCCAGAGTTCTAATCATCCTATTTCACAGACTGGAATGCCTCCCAATCTGGGCTCAATCCTTTCCCCTGTTTAGTCATAGTTGTTTCCAGCATCCATCTTGGGTGGTAAGCAGGTATCTTGGCTGCTGCATATCGTTTGATTTTTCCACCGTTATATAGATTCTGCCCCTGGTGGGGATCCTTTGTGTCCAGTTCAAACTTTTCTCACCTTCATTAGAAAATTGTAGCATCCAAAATGGGTTCCAGCATCAGGTGACCTAGCCACATATCTTTGCGGGATCAACCATAGTCCAGGCTTACAAGGAAAAACAAGGCTATTCATAGATCTTTGTCTAGGGTTCAGGGCCGTTAAGTTCCTTGTGTACTAATAATGGCCCTCATTTAGCATGTCTAAATTAGTAAAACAGATTTTACTTCATATTTCTAACTTCAGATATAAGAATGGTACATGCACACAAATAGAATATACACAATCAGCAGATAACTTTTCTAATGATGTTACAGTACATGAATAGTGATAGAAATGTAGTATTTTGTATAAAGCTTATTCAGATTGTTTCATATTCATGAGCATATTTCCATAAAGAATATTGGATGCAACATCACAAGTGTGTTTTGAAATCACTGGAGCACTGAATAAATCTCTGGATCATATGCTGAGCAGTTGGCCATAGAAAACCATAGCATGAAGATGACCATGGGTCTGGGAGAGAGCAGAGGTCAATAAAGATGGGTAAAATTGTTGTGGAGGCAGACATATGCAACTTTTCACCTGTTACTTTGGGAGCTTTTCTTAAGCTATTCCTATTGAAATGGTGGGTTGTAATCTTAACTGTAGAAGCTACTGCTTCTGCATATTTTCTTTTAAAATCTGAAATTATGCTTTTACAAGTATATTGAATAACTAAAACCAGTATTCCTTACATGTAACATGTCATTGACATGAAAAGCTAAGCATGGGACACTTCCATCCCACTCAGGGTACATCTACACAGCAGGGCAAAACTCGAATTAAGCTACTTCAATTGCATAGTTGAAGTTGAAATAGCTTAATTTGGCTTTTGGCTCTGTCTCCTCAGCAAGAAGTTTAAGGAAGAACACACTTCCTTCGACTTCCC